CCCGCCTCGGCCTCCCAGAGTGCTAGGATTACAGGTGTGAGCCATCGTGCCCAGCCGTGACTTCTTAGATCATAATTTCAAAGTGAAATTTTGATACTTATGTTGGTTCTTCTAGAAATTTCTTACATTTAGAAGTAATATATTTTTTCTGTCAAGATTAATTCCAATTATATGGTTTCTCTTTTCTTCCTTTATAAGTTTGCATTTTGTTTGATATTTAGTTGTGGAAAAGTTATTCTTAATGATTTTTTTTATTTCCAAAATCCATAAATTACCTAAAAATGGCCTAGTGACTTAGAATGGCCTAGTGATTTAGTTGGGTCTGCACTACACGTAGCCTGGCCAGTTCCAGAACTGTATCAGGTGGTAGCCCTGGTGCTGCTGAAAGCACTATAGAAAGAAGCAAAAGCCCACAGGACAAATCTAGCGTTGGTTTAGTACCAGAAGTCCCCTGGAAAACCATGTCTGAACTCCTATGCCCAAAGGTCCTAAATATGCTTTGTACATGGCCCAAGTTGTCAGATTCATTTTAAATGTGAACTGGCTGTCGTTTGACCACTTCAAAGGACTAGGCAGGAAAATGCATAGTTTGGCCTCATCTTTCCCTGCTGGCCAACACCAGATGAAGGAGTGGTTCTCAACTTCTTTTCTTGCTTACCTCCCAGAACTGCCAAATCTGAGAATGCATAAAGTATTACTTTTAAGCCATAGATTAAACAGCTGTTTTCCTCCTTTTAATTTTACGGCTGTTGGGCCATAACCTTATCAACGTAGCATGCTTGGTCAACTTTCAGCTTTCCATCTGCATTTTTTTTCTTTTTTTTTTTTTTTGGTAAAGACAAGGCTCTCTTGTCCAGGCTGGAGTGTGGTGGTGTGATCATAGCTTACCGCAGCCTCCAAATCCTGGGTTTAAGCAATCCTCCTGCCTCAGTCTCCAAAGTAGCTGAGACCACAGGTGTATACCACTATGCCCGGCCAATTTTTCTTATTTTTTGTAGAGATGAGGGTCTCACTATGTTGCCCAGGCTGGTCTTGAACTCCTGTCCTCAAGCAATCCTCCCACCTCAGCCTCCCAAAGTGCTGGGGTTACAGGTGTGAGCTGGTGCGCCTGGCCTGCATTTTCAAAAAATACCTCACAGGTCTAGTCTATAGGGCACATGTTTTCCAATCTTCCATATGTCATCCAGTCATCTCAGCAATGAATTTTACTTTTAGTTCGTTGGAAGGAAACCATGTGTCATAGTAATTGTATTAGTTAAGGTACAGGCTAAGCTGCCATAAGAAAGAGAATCAAAGCTATAGTGATTCAGTGAAAATAGGAATTTGTTTCTCTCACACCCAAACCAATGGGCACCTCTGCCATACCTAACTCGAGGTTCTTAGAAAAGAGTGACAACCAGAGCAAGAAATTTCCTTTTAAGCAAATGACATGGAAGTTATACACACCACTTCTGCTCAAATTCTGTTGGCAAAAACTTGGTCATATGGCACATCTGGCTTCAAGGGAGGCTGGAAAACAGTCTTGCAATGGGTAGCCATATGCCCAGATGATCTCTATGACTATGGAACCAGGGAAGAATGGGTAGCTGTGGTTAACTAGCATTCGGCCAAGTAGCATTCTGCTACAGTGATGAAAACTAAGACGATGACCTATGTCATCCTAATTTTACATGGAAATTTTTCCATAAAAAAAATGATGTCAAGCAATATTAACATGGTTAAAATGAATTGTCTCATTTTCTAGTGAACTTAGAAGCATTCAGAAGAATAACTGAAGCAAAATAAAAGGATTACTCTTAAATTAACACTCTGCCAAGGGCCACATAGATAGTCTCCTGTTATGTTCTCATAGGACAGGTAGCCATGCTTAAAACTACTTTTTGCATCTGTAGCATCTCTCTCTCAGAGTCCTTTACACGATTATTGAAAACTCAGACCCTTGCCCTTGGAAACCATATAGATGGATAATCAAGCATTTCTTTTCTTTTCTGCCAGGATACACTTGAAATGTGCTCCAAGGATCAGGAATTTAAAAGCATCCTCTTTTCTCTGTGCTACTTCCATGCCTGTGTTGCTGGGAGACTAAGGTTTGGCCCACAGGGCTGGAGCCGAAGCTATCCTTTCAATCTCGGAGACCTCACCATTTGTGCCAATGTCCTCTACAACTACTTAGAAGCAAATCCTAAGGTAAGTGCTAGTGGTCAGATAATCTCGTCCAAGGAGTTTACTAAACCTATCAGTCTTTGGATGCTATCAAAATGGACCATAATTTCTCTTTGGAAGCTATTACTGAAATAGCTGACACTATATGCATCTTCTACCAAGTATGAAAATAAAACAGATCAAAGGTTTTCTAGCAGTGGATGTTCAGACTTCATAAGATAGGTCAAACCAGTTCTACATCAGTGGCTTAGTGCAAAAAACAAAACAAAAAAAATGTCCTTCATTATGTTAACAAAAACAGTGGTTTACATGTGCATATATGCCAGATTCATTAGGCAGGTAATGAAGCATTTGCACAAATGTAATTACATACAGCAATTCTGACAGTTCATAACACTGCATTAATAATCACTACAATTAGTTCTGATGATGGAAGCAATTTACAGCACGTCACATGTATAAATAATGGTGCATTTCCTGCATATGTCATTATTATGTATTAAGGATGCCACCTTGTTGTGACTTTCTCAGTAATGTTCTCCTTGATTTGAAGTTGAAAGTAGATGAATGATTTTATTTCGTAGCTAAAATGTGTTTTACAGATGGGAATCAGAATGCCTCATCAAGAACATTTGTGTAAACTCTTATAAGCCCAATGATTGGATTTCAAAAAGGAAGAATCACTTATTCCTAAGTATATTCTGGCTTACTCCTTACAAGGGAAACTTTTTTCATTAAGTTAAATCTGATAGAATTTGGGTATATATGTCAAAACCAACCAGATGTCCGTCTAGGCCACACTTTCTATAAAGGGCCTTCGAAATCACCCATCAGTGTTTCTAAGTAGAAATGGTTGTTTTATGTTCTTTCAGTAACCATTGTTATAATTTTTGTTATCAAAGTTTTCTCAAGCTTTGGTGGTGCTTTGACTGCTCTCAGGGTATGTCCACTTGGTACCTATTGGGTGTGCTCTCCCAAGGAACAAATTTTGAATAAGTCGTACCTAAAATAAATGGCTTCAATATGGTATGTGGTGTTCAATATTCCATATCTATCATTTTTTAATTTATAAAATTAAAAAGTAATTCTGTAGACTTTGAGCATATTTGACCATTCTAATAAATAATAATATTTTTGTGTTGATCTCAACACCTTTTGTTTAAACTGTTTAAAATTTACTATTATAATAGTTCTGTCAGGTTGTAGTTGTCTATTATTGGTTCTTGGTGTGCTCTGGGCCGAAGAATGACCAGACACACCAAAAGCAAGGCAACTGTGAAACAAAGTTTATTGAGGAAGGACAAGATAGGTTTACAGAGCCAAAAGCAAGATACAGGTTCACAGAGCAAGAGCAAGATACATTCACCATAGACAACAAACGGACCCTTCTGTCATAACAAAAGGGCTCTGATTATGGTGTGCAGTCCTGTTTATAGTGTATGGATTGGGCCCTCCTTGTGGTTCAGACATCACCACTGAACCACTTTGAGGGACAGTTAACGACATAATAATTAGCGTTAGGTTATTCTAGGTCACTTTCCAAACCCTATTGTGCCTGGGCTGGGAGATTCCCTGCATTCTTTTGCAGATTAGCAGGGGTTCCTCCTTCCCCCAGGAGCGACAGTTGCTCCAGACAGGATTAAGGATGGGGCAGCACCAAGATGGGGTACCCACCCTTGTCCTTATTCCCAGGTGGTGCAATTGCTTGAGGCAGCACCAAGGCAAGGCGCCCACCTTTGTCCCTGTGAGAGCCGGAATCCTTCACTGCAGAAAAAGAAATAAACCATTTAATACCTTTAATTCAAGTCCTTCATAATGGTCCCATGAGGCTGAGACCAGGAATATTATTCTATTTCAGCTGAATCCCATACACAGTTGAGGTCAAAATGAAGGGGAGGAAAAGGGGACTTGACACTTGTGTTTGTTTCCAGCTCTCACATCCTGAGTCTTGGCAACACCAGTCGGTCAGTTGAGTTGTGCTGTATCCTGCTGCTTCTCCTACTGGGGTTCCAACACCAGCATAGCCTTAGGTTTTAACACATTCTCATGTCCCTCAGAAGTCCTGAGTCATTTGCTGCACATCACAAAGCAAGTTATCAGGGCTTGGGAATTAAATTAGTATGTGCACATAGTTTGATTGTACAAAATACACTTTTCAAGAAAGTATATGTAAAAACCAAAGATCAGGATTTGGGGAAAGAGAATCAATTATTAAAAGAACAAGTCCCTAGCTAAATAAAATCTTAAGAGAGATATTAATGCATATCAAATATTGAAATGTGTAGCAGGCTTTTATTGAACGCACTCAGAAAGAGTAATAAGATTAAGAAGTCTTTGTTTCTCATCCATTTCAGGTGCTTGGAAGGTAGGCCATGCAGTGGTAGAGAGAGAATGTTTCTTTTTCATTCACATCAAACCAGCTTAAAAGAAAGACATATTTGAGGTCCATTTATTCAAATTCAAATAAACTTGTAGCAAGTACATTGGAATAGTTGAAGCAATTTTACTTGTTCTGTTCTGTCACATCACGCAAGGAACGAAGGCTATAATTACGTTTTTACTTGAACTGTTGGGAGGCAATATACTGCCCCGGAGGGTATAAAGGTTCCTGTCTAGAAAAGCTTCATCACACACTGGCATGTTTTCCAAACCCAGAAGAAGCTAAAGGGTAGCAAAGACAGGCTTCAAACTCTAGCTAAGCCAAATAAAGAGGAGATAACAGTGATTTCTTTTAACTAATGGTACAGCATTAGTTACGACCCTTAGAACAGTCAGTAGGGTAAACCAAATCCTCAAATCTATCTGTGGCAAGGGGATTTGTTTGCCTGGACTTTTGGAAAGTGATAGAATTCCAAATACATCCCAAATCCAAATTGTGTGAATGTTTCTTTCTTTTCCTGAATCAGATCATAAAAGCTGATATAAATCAGACAATAAAAACATGTAACACTTCAGAAGCCCTGTGAATCAACATTCTCTCATGATTTTTGGATAAGATTTTGAACGTATAAACTTTCCCTGCACAATGGGTTCTAGGAATGATTCACTTTGCTTTAAAATTGTGTGAATTTTTACTGAATATATTATAACACTGAAAATAATTCTCCCAAGAAAATCTACACAGAAACTTAAACAATTTCTGAACCACTTTTAATTCTTCTTCCAGTGGGGGCTTGCGTTAGAGGGGCATGTACCACTGGTTGGCCTCTCTGTGGCTTATACCCTAGGCATAGAAGTGAACATTATGTGTTTTTTTTTTCCCCAAGGTCCCATGGGAAGACCTCCGTTATCTCTTTGGTGAGATCATGTATGGGGGCCACATCACAGATGACTGGGATCGCAGACTGTGTCGGGTGTATTTAGAAGAATTCATGAATCCATCTCTGGTGAGACATTTTTAAATTAATTTTTCCTGAAATTATGGAAAAATTCTGGTAAGAATTTTTTTAAACTAATTTCACTATATGGATAATTCTTCTGTTATTGAGGATTCTTGGCCTTTTGTATGTTCTGGACTGCCTTCAGTGGGGGTTTGGAAATTTGTTAGAAATGCAGAATCTTAGGCATCATCCCAGACCTATAGAATCAGAATCTGCAGTTTACCAAGACTTCCCCAGGTGATTTCTGTGCACGTTAGAGAGTGTGCCAAGGGGAAGCCCTGTCGCACGCACTGGCTCACTGGGGCTTCTTAATAACCCTGTGAGGTGTGCGTAGCTGACACTCTTAAATTCTGTTTTGTAGACCAAGATGAGGAGATATGTGATTTGTCCCAGGCCATTAAGTTGGTATGAGTAAGAGCTGTACCCAAAATATAAGTCTCTTGATTTCTGTTCCAGGGATCATTTCATTATAGTGTTTTTGCCTATCACAGAAGTTGTGTAATATTCTAGGTTTTAATTATTAACACCTTACTAAAATATGTGCTTAAGAAAAACATGGTGAATATGTGAGGTGATGCATTTGTTAATTAGCTTGATTTAATCATCCCACAATGTAAACATGTATCAAAACATCACATTGTACCTCATAAATATATGCAATTATTTTTCAATTAAAAATAAAATTAAAGGTGTGAATCCTATTTTAGTCTTCTACGTGTGGCTATCCAATTTTCCCAGCACCATTTATTGAATAAGGATTCTTTTCCCCAGTGTATGTTTTTGTCTAATTTATGAAAGATTAGATGGCTATATGAGGATGGTTTTATATCTGGATTCTCAGTTCTGTTCCATTGGTCTGTCTCTACTCTTATGCCAGCACCATGCTGTTTTAGTTACTATAGCCTTGTAATAGCTCGAAGTCTGGTAAATTGATGCCTCCCAATTTGTTCTTTTTGCTTAAGATTGCTTTTGCTATACGGGGTCTTCTCTTGTGCTATACAGGGTCTTCTCTTGTTCCGTATGAAGCATAGAATTATTTTTTCTAGATCTGCACAAAATGATGTTGGTATTTTAATAGGGATTGCATTGAATCTTGAGATCATTTTGGGTAGTATAGACATTTTAACAATGTTGATTCTGCCAACCCATGAGCATGGTATGGTTTTCCAACTGTTTTTTATTTTCTTTGTTGCTATTGTGAAGGGTATTGAGTCTTTGATTTGGTTCTCAGTTTGACTGTTGTTGGTGTATAGGAATGCAACCAATTTCTGTACATTGATTTTTTTTAACCTGAGACTTTGCTGAATTTGTTTATCAATGTCAGTAGACTCATGGCAGAATCTTTGGGGTACTGTAGATATAAGATCATATCATCAGCAAAGAGTGATAGTTCGACCTCTTCTGCCCCTGTTTGCATGCCCTTGATTTCCTTCTCTTGTCTGATTGCTCTGACTAGGATTTCCAGCACTATGTTGAATAGAAGCAGTGATAGAGGGCAACCTTGTCTGGTTTCAGTTCTAAGCAGAAATGCTCTTAATTTTTCTCCATTCAGTATGATGTTGGCTGTGGGTTTCTTATATATGGCTTCTATCATTTTTAGGCAAGTCCCGTCTGTGCCTATTTTCTTAAGTGTTCTTATCATAAAAGGGTGCTGAATTTTGTCAAATGCTTTTTCTGCAGCTATCGACAGGATCATATGGTCTTTATTTTTGCTTCTATTTATGTAGTGAATTACATTTATAGATTTGCGTATGTTGAACCATCCCTGCATATCTGGGATGAAGCCCATTCGGTCGTGATGGATTATTTTTTTTTCAATAAGCACCTGAATTCAGTTTGCTAGAATTTTGTTGAGAATTTTTACATCTATATTCATGAGGGATATTGGTCTGCCACATGTAGAAGACTGAAACAGGATATGTACCTTTCATCTCTCACAAAAATCAACTCATGGTGGATAACAGACTTAAA